AATTTTGATGAATTGCGATATAATACTTTTTAGTTCTTGGGTTTAGATAACATTTTAATTACATGTAATCAGATCATGTGGAGGTGGCAGAATTGTGATCCAGATAGTCTCTATTGCATTGCACAGAGCTTTTCCATCTACTGGAATTTGGATGAGTTGGATGCAGTAATCCCTTAAGAAATTGCCACTCCTGCACCTCATCACTCCTGGCTTTCCAGAATGGTGGGGCAGCCTTTGCTTTATCATGGGAAAATTTGTCCTGGCTCTGGAATTATGGGCTGTATTCTAGTAACTGTGCACAACAGGAACCTTGCATCATGCTAGTAGGAAGACATCAAATTTGGAGCATGACATCATTGTGGTATAATGGCATCACTTTGGTAACATAATACCAAGGCCAAGCTTGTTAGCACAATTATAATGCATTGTGGATCCTTCATCGTAATGAAGGAAGGGGAGATGAAATAAATATTTGTGTGTGTAACAATGTCGTGCGTTAAGTAGAAATCACGGCTTGTCTGAGTTAATTGATTGTAGCTACAAGCCCAGCATCTCTAAAATGAATGTAATTTCCCCGGCTGCCTGTAAAAATTAATCAATATATCCCAAGAGATTACTTCCTGGCTAAATTGCTTCAAAGAAATTAGACCAACCATTGTGTACAAATGGAGCTGCTTTCACCCTCTGCAATTTCTCTGCGATTTTTTTTCACCTTTTATTTTAATTTTTCATTCCATTTGATGTAATTGTAATTGGAGCCCGTAAGTACATATTTGGCCCTGCTGATTTTATTTAGATGCTAATTTAATTAGGACTCTATAAACATAGAGAATAACTTGGTGACGATAATGATGCATGAGCAGCTTGTGTATCTTCAGCTTTTTCTACATGTTGCCTAGGAATGTTTATGATGAAACTGGATCATGTTAGGTATTGATGGTTGTTGTCACTACGCATATAAAGTAGGCTGAAATTGCCATGATCTCACATAAGCAGTCATCAATACACAACACCATATTAACTGCTCATTATATGAAGTCAAGGAGAGTGTTGACTTTATATTCATATGTGGTTTATGTAGTCTAGTGCTGCCAGAATTAGCAGACTTTTTATAGTGCTTCTGAGCAGAACTGCTATATAATTCTGTATTGCGCAGTGTCCTTTCTGAGAGCCACAGAGGATGTTACCTGGTCGCCTAAGAACACTCAGCCTCTTTTTTTTTAAATTCTGGATTTTTGTGATATTCATAATGTAGGGATACAGACATGATAGGACTAGTTCACACCAACAGCTACCTTACCCAATGTAGTCAAAATGCTAGCACAAAGCAAATAGCTATATTCCCCAAGGTTTCCATTCTGTGCTGTATTGTTGTACACTCAAAAAAAAAAACCAAAACAGCACATGGTAAAAGCAAAACAATACATGTTAATGCAGTGTGGCACAGCAACATTTTAAATTGCATGGCAGCATTATGATTTGAATGAAACTTGAATGGATTTGGTAAATCAGGAAGCCAACTGCGTAAGCTAACTGCTAGAATGAAAAACAGAACCTTTCAATGGATAGGCGGCACCCCAGGTGAATTTATTGCAAATGTTAATGTTTGAGTGAAGTGCACCTTTAAAGGGTAAGTCCACAATAACTCATTCCCATTTAGCATGGAGATTAGAGGGCTTCTTAAACTTCTCAGGGACACTGGTGCTGATGTTACTGCCCTGGAGTGTGCAGTTATATCTTTATCAGTGCCCAGTTCTGCCCACCTGCCCATGTGTCTTTCTGAGTAGCCAGTTCTGGCTGGCTGCACTTGTGCCTTCCTGAGTGCCAAGTTCTGCCCACTTGCCCTTGTGTCTACCTGAGTGCCCAGTTTTGCCCACATGCCTATGTGCCTTCCTGTGTGCCCAGTTCTGTCCACCTGCCCCTGTGTCTTGGAGCAGCCAGTTCTGCCTTGCTTGCCCCTGCATCTCCCAGTACACTCAGTTCTTCCCAGCTGACGTTGTGTCTTCCTGAGTGCCCAGTTCTTTTCACTTGCCTTTGTGCTTTCCTAAGTGCCAGTTCTGCCCACATTCCTATGTCCCTGCCTGGGTGCTAAATCTGCCCACATACCTATGTGCCTTCCTAAGTGCCCAGTTTTGCACATCTGCCCCTTTCTTGAAGTGGCTAGTTTTGCCTACATGCACCTGTCTCTCAGTGTGCCCAGTTCTTCCCACCTGCCATTGTACCTTCCTGAGTGCCCAGTTCTTTCCATCTGCCCTTGTGCCTTCCTGAGTGCCCAGTTCTGTCCACTTGCCTTTGTGATTTCCTAAGTGCCCTTTTCTGCTCACCTCCCCCTGTACTGAAGTATCCAGTCCTGCCCACCTGTCCCTGTGTCTTCCCAAGCGCCCAGTTCTAGCCCGCTGCCCCTGTCTGGGAGTGACCACTTCTGCCCATCTTCCCCAGTGCATTCCTGTCTGATTACTTTCTTTTTTCAACTGATCTAATTGAAACTGAATCCTAGTTCCATATTTTATAGATATGACCTGCTGGAAACATGCATGGATATATTTACTTGAATACCTATATATATATATATATATATATATATATATATATATATATATATATATATATATATATACAGTCAGGTCCATAAATATTGGGACATCGACACAATTCTAACATTTTTGGCTCTATACACCTCCACAATGGATCTGAAATGAAACGAACAAGATGTGCTTTAACTGCAAACTGTCAGCTTTAATTTGAGGGTATTTACATCCAAATCAGGTGAACGGTGTAGGAATTACAACAGTTTGCATATGTGCGTCCCACTTGGTAAGGGACCAAAAGTAATGGGACAATTGGCTTCTCAGCTGTTCCATGGCCAGGTATGTGTTATTCCCTCATTATCCCAATTACAATGAGCAGATAAAAGGTCCAGAGTTCATTTCACGTGTGCTATTTGCATTTGGAATCTGTTGCTGTCAACTCTCAAGATGAGATCCAAAGAGCTGTCACTATCAGTGAAGCAAGCCATCATTAGGCTGAAAAAACAAAATAAACCCATCAGAGAGATAGCAAAAACATTTGGCGTGGCCAAAACAACAGTTTGGAACATTCTTAAAAAGAAGGAACGCACTGGTGAGCTCAGCAACACCAAAAGACCCGGAAGACCACAGAAAACAACTGTGGTGGATGACCGAAGAATTCTTTCCCTGGTGAAGAAAACACCCTTCACAACAGTTGGCCAGATCAAGAACACTCTCCAGGAGGTAGGTGTATGTGTGTCAAAGTCAACAATCAAGAGAAGACTTCACCAGAGTGAATACAGAGGGTTCACCACAAGATGTAAACCAGTGGTGAGCCTCAAAAACAGGAAGGCCAGATTAGAGTGTGCCAAACGACATCTAAAAAAGCCTTCACAGTTCTGGAACAACATCCTATGGACAGATGAGACCAAGATCAACTTATACCAGAGTGATGGGAAGAGAAGAGTATGGAGAAGGAAAGGAACTGCTCATGATCCTAAGCATACCACCTCATCAGTGAAGCATGGTGGTGGTAGTGTCATGGCGTGGGCATGTATGGCTGCCAATGGAACTGGTTCTCTTGTATTTATTGATGATGTGACTGCTGACAAAAGCAGCAGGATGAATTCTGAAGTGTTTCGGGCAATATTATCTGCTCATATTCAGCCAAATGCTTCAGAACTCATTGGACACCGCTTCACAATGCAGATGGACAATGACCCAAAGCATACTGCAAAAGCAACCAAAGAGTTTTTTAAGGGAAAGAAGTGGAATGTTATGCAATGGCCAAATCAATCGCCTGACCTGAATCCGATTGAGCATGCATTTCACTTGCTGAAGACAAAACTGAAGGGAAAATGCCCAAGAACAAGCAGGAACTGAAGACAGTTGCAGTAGAGGCCTGGCAGAGCATCACCAGGGATGAAACCCAGCGTCTGGTGATGTCTATGCGTTCCAGACTTCAGGCTGTAATTGACTGCAAAGGATTTGCAACCAAGTATTAAAAAGTGAAAGTTTGATTTATGATTATTATTCTGTCCCATTACTTTTGGTCTCTTAACAAGTGGGAGGCACATATGTAAACTGTTGTAATTCCTACACCGTTCACCTGAATTGGATGTCAATACCCTCAAATTAAAGCTGACAGTCTGCAGTTAAAGCACATCTTGTTCGTTTCATTTCAAATCCATTGTGGTGGTGTATAGAGCCAAAAATGTTAGAATTGTGTCGATGTCCCAATATTTATGGACCTGACTGTATAATGTGTGTATAGTCCCTTCAGGAATAGGAAGCTCAACTGTTGCTGGTGGATGAAGCTGACAGTGGAGTTTTGGGGAATGGATGATGATGGTGGAAGAATGATGGGAGATGGGAACTGATGGGGGGTGGGGAGCTAATGGTGGGGGGAATGGGAACCAATGCTGCAGGGATGGAGGTGAATGGGAGATGATGCTGCAGGAGTAGTAGGGGATGGGAGCTGATGGTGGAGGGCTGGTTGGGCGTGGGAGCTAATGGTGCATGAGTGATACAGGATGGAGCTGCTGATGGCTTTTGGGAGATGAGAGCTGGCTTAAATGAAAAAAAAGGGGTGAGAAAACTTCTTTACGTCTTTCTCAAACATGTTTGTTTCCCCAAAATGGTCACTGTTCTATAAACCACAGAAAAAATACAGGATATATCATTTTCAGTGGTAACAGACCACTTTCTCTCAAGGCAATGCTCTCTGTGGATCTGAGATTGCAGGTCATTTGACATTTAGTGTAACAACACTTCCTATGTCATTTGATGAACAAAGCAGGAGGGAGAAAATGTCACTACTCACAATTCTCAGGACAGATGGATGTGACAATAGTTTAACATTACAATTCAGTGTTTACTTCTACTGTAGTATTAAAAGTATAATTTTGGATTTTGCAGAATAGGTCCATTTTCAGTGCATCTATAAAAAGAATTCTTCCAATGTGTGAAATGGGCCTTTGTGAGTACACTTTGTTAGGTTTTTGCCCTTCTGAAGGAATTTTTTTTAAATCCCGATCCAACGCCATTTCGGAAGGACCTTTTTATAAAAGACTTCTCCAATAGAGGCTTCAGAAAGGTGAGCTCCTCGCTTCGGTCAGCTTCAACCAAGCAACTGTTGAGCAGGATGAGACAGTGGTCTGATTTCCCGGAGGACTGGAGGAAGAGATAACCATTATACAAAATTGAGGAACCATACTCTATATATTATTCACAAGCTGCAGGCAACAGGTGTAAAACTTTGCCCCTGGTTGTGACTGGCTAAGTGGAACACACTTTTCATCAACTAACGATTATTTCACTTCACAGTAACATCTGACTTAATATAAAGTTGTAAAGCATTGTGACTGTTTCACCACTCAGAAGTCTGGAGTTACTGATATTGCACTAATTCATTGGTACTTGGCCAATCATAGCTGACTCATATGATTGTGAAATGTGATCATGTGAAAGACTCCCCTTAAATGGTATGTAAACCCTAACAATTAACTTTTCTTATTAGCTCCTATTTGGTCTATTAAATATATCAATGTAAGTGAACAGATCCCTTGCTGAGCGGAACAGATGTCACTTTTTTGACACTTGTATCTATTTAGTTTTTTCTTTCATCTTTTAGTTGAGCTTAGCAAACCAATGTTAGGTCTATTGGCAGGTGAATGAAAAAAAGACGTACATTCATTTAAATAATTTTACCTCCAATCCATCATGTTTAGGTCTGAAAAAGCAGAACAGAACACAAACCTTTTCGGGTTTTTTCTTTTTTTTTTTGGACCTCAGCACACTTGGAGGTAATTTGATGTAAACTGTTACACATCCATTTACATCTGCTTGCCCATAGTATGACATTGAGCTCCCTTTCAGATATGCCTGAAAAACTGACAGGCGAATCTGATTGGACCCCTAAGTTGGCCATGCATAGGTCATAACTCGGCCACTTCCTGCTGATTTCTGAATTTTGATCCATGGCCATTTCCGTTCAAGAGGAGTTGATCTAGTGATTAACTTCTCTTGAACTGGAATGTCGGTATATGTTCACTCGATCAGCACTTGCAGCCAACCAGCTGTATTGCTGGTCAGTGTATTCTGGCAGCAGAGTACAGTTGCCAAAATACAATAACATAGCAGGAGAATTCCCCCATCCACCTCAAATTTGTGGATGATTGAACCTGTATATTTTTCTTTTTTGATCAGCCATCTGGCTGATCAAAAATATTATCCATCTATATAGCCTATCCAGCTTTACTCTCTATTTTGTGGAAATGAGGAGAGGGGAGATATGCAGTAGTTTAACAACAGACATCTGGGAAAGGCTGGATAACAGCAGGGCTGACACCATTTCTTGCAATTTCTTTAGCATAAACAGTGCTGTAGTGTGAGCCCACAACAGAAAATTACTAGTACATTTCTGGCAGATCATTAATTTTCTGTATATGCAGGGTCTTTAAAGGTATTGGAAGTGATTTAGAATATTTTGTTTTCATTATTTTACCCTGATATATGCTTTAAGCTGCCCATAGATTAAGATCCCCAGATCCTTCTTTTTTTTCAGCCGGATTGGGCAACAACCAGAGGACTACCTGAGCAGATGTCTGTTTTATCCAGCAGACAAAACCAGGCTTTTACATTAAAAACAACTTAAACAGGCTTAGTAACAGACCCGCAACAGCCATTATTATTACCTCTACTTATTAATTTGTTAGAATGTACACTCACTGGCCACTTTATTAGGTACACCTTGCTAGTGCCAAGAAAATATCCCCCACACCATGACATCACCACCATCAACCTGAGTCGTTTATATAAAGCAGGATGGATAGATGCTTTCATGTTGTTTACCCCAAATTCTGACTCTACCATCTGAATGTCGCATACTCAGACCAGCCCTTCTGGCACCAACAACCATGCAATGTTCAAAGTCACTTAAATGCAGGGGTGGACTGACCATTTGGAAACTCGGGCACTGCCCGAGGGCCCTGGGGTCAGTAGGGGGCCCCATGAGATGCCCCTGGTACCTTTTTCATAGGCTTTTTTGAGTTTTGGCAAGGACACAGGGGCCCCATGATCCCCTATTGCCCAGGGGCCCCTTGAGTTGTCAGTCCGCCCCTGCTTAAATGCCATTTCTTCCCCATTCTGATGCTCGGTTTGAACTTCAGCAAGTCGTCTTCACCACATCTACATGCCTAATTTTATTGAGTTGCTACCATGTGATTGGCTGATTAGCAGTTTGTGTTACCAAGCAATTGAACAGGTGTACCTAATAAAGTGGCCTGTGAGTGTAGAAAATGCAGCAAGAGGTAAGAGACCTAGGCTTTCTAATAGCTAAAACAGGGTGAAGAATTGGAATGCTGGTGAAGAGACCTTAGCCCTGGAGTAACTAGAGACACAAGAAGCCCGTGTTATCACTCCCCCCTGATGGATTTTTCATTATATAGAATAATGATATCATTGGACTATCCAGCTACAAATAGTTATATTTTATTATGTTCTTCACCATTGGAAGTGGAGTCCATCCATATCTAAATTTTAAGTTTAAAGTGGAATTTTATAAGTTAGTCGGATGGACCTATGTGATCCTTACTTTCCATTGTCTATCTGTATCAACAGTACTGTCTGTTAATACACTTACTACGACCATTATTTCCAGGTAGGAAAAGGTTGAATATATTAATCATGAAACATATTCACTGTGCAAAGTCAACGTGCTAAAATATCACATACAAATGGCTATATCACTAAGCTAGACTTAATTAATTGCATCAGGAATATTGAAATTAAGTCTGCTGTCTATCACCCAATGCTAAGAAGGTCTGTTTCAAAGGACCACTTCTGGCTGGTTTACAGAAATTTCAGATGCTGGTGGCTTAATTCAAACTCAGCGATTCATATCTAATGTAGCTGAAGTGATTTAACCCTCTTTAACAAGGCAACTTGTTTAATGCTTATAGTGGAAACTGTATGTATTGGGGGAACTAGGTGGAAAAGTTAAGGGAAGATCACTACACAGAAAAAGGACAGAAATCTAATGTAGACCTTAAAAGGGCCCACAAAATCCAAGCCAACTAGTACTAGTTATATAAGTAGAAAAGTTATTTAGAGTTAGTCCTTATAGATGTAGCCTTCATATTGGTATCAGTGTTGAATCAGCCTTTAGTTAGATAGTCTTGAACAGGATAACAGTCAACCAGCATAAGAGACCTCCACAGTTATAACTGCTGGGACCTCCAGGCTTCTCACATCATAGCTATAGCAGACCTTAACACAGCTATGAAGCTCAGAGATGTCTGAATGAAGTGATATGTTTCTGAATGAAGTGATATATTGTCTAGTTAAAAAAATACTAACAATTGGTACCCTAAACCACTAGAGGAATTGCCTTCATGATGAAGGTTAAAGAGACAAAGGGGACCCTTAACTGTCTTTCCATGCGACCCCATCACACATAGTTATGACTCTACCTCACAGGCACCTGACTGAAAGTGATTTGTAAAGCTAGGGCTAAATAGTTGAGTTTTGATTATGCAACCAGTCAATTTCGAGTGTCTGCAATTGGGGGGTTATTTATTTATTAATTTTGCTTTGTTTGTTTTTTTAAGACAATCAATAACTTTAACAGGAAGGCGTAAGAAGTGAGGTTTCCTGTACTCCAAATCTATTAAGATTGGATGCGATGCTGCATGATTAATCATGATTAATCTCTTCAAAAATTGTGTCTCCAATCTGCATTGTAACTCATCCGAAGCACTGAGTTATAAACAATGACCATCACTATGATCACACAACTGAAAATCTGCCATGAAGCTCATGCGGACAACTGATCTCTAGTGATTTGTGTGCATGCATGTGTGTTGTTAGCACTGTATGCAGTTACCCAAGGGGAGGAGCATGCCCCATAGGGCTTGGCACTCATTGCTGATTGCCACTTAAATGTGGTGCCACCTACACTTTCCCAGCTTATAATATAAATAATATATAAAAAAATATATACATTCAACATACCCATGTATAAAACAGTTACTAGGTGATTGATCTATAAATCCAAACATACATGGCTCCCACAGTTGAAACCAAAAAGTGTGTGCTTATGTCAGTGAATACTTCTTTGTAGTGTGCAGTATTATCCTCCAATTCAAACAGAACTTAAAGATGGATTCCAGGTATGGATATTTCATATATACTGTAGTTATACCGGTCCAGCTTAGACCAATGTACCTATGTAGATACCACACCTGACCGATGCCCCTGGAAACTGAAAATCACTGAAGCAGACACTTCAGGATTTATTTACTAAAACTAAAGAGTTCAAAATCTGGTGTAACTCTGCACAGAAACCAATTGGCTTCCAGGTTTTATTGTCAAAGCTTAATTGAACAAGCTAAAGTAATGAGCTGATTAGGTACCATGCACAGCTGCATCAGATTCTGAGTGCTCCACTTTTATTAAATCATCCCCTTCTAGTCCACGGATTTTCACTTGTTACTGAGTCTTGTGCTGAGTGATTGACATGCTGCATTCTGAACACAGGAGGTTGGCCATTGGGCATGGGCACCATTCAGATATTTCTTTGTGTTTTCTGAATGAACGCAAAGTATTCTCTGTTTGGAGAGGCTGGGCAGTGATGTCACACTCAACACAGGGTCCAGAAGCAAGTGGAGATCACTGTAGTGTTGGTGTCTACATCAGTGATTTCCAGCTGCCAGGGGCATTGGCCAGGGTTGGTATATGCATTGTTACAAAGATACAAGCTGGAATGTAACTGTGTATAGAATATCCATACCTGGATTTCCGTTTTAAACAGTTTTCCCACTGCCCTATAGTAAAACTACTGCTACAGGGTGGCAGGGCTGTGCAAAATCACGTGTATATATACATGATATGCATTTCTGGGTAGGGGGTGTGCGCACGTGGAAGCCGCCTTACCCGCACCGGGCTACAGATGTCAATCACTGGGTCCCGGCCGGAGATTCTCCACCGGCACCCGGCGATTGTTGTGTTGAACTGACAGGGGAGAGACCTGTGTGTAAACAACACAGGTCTCTCTCCTGCCAGCAAGGACATGCTGCTGCATATTTCTCTGCACAGCAGAGAAATACACAGCAGCATATCTCCCTAGTAAAACAGCACACCATGTAAAACAGTTAACCCCTTCCTGC